CCTATTGAGAACCCACAACCAGTCAATTATCAAATTGATAACTTCTTTATCAATTCAGTAATATCATTTTGCAGTGTAGGGCTGTCACAGTAGAGGGAAAAGAGTGTCTCTTGGTCTCTCTAGAAGTTTGGGAATTATTGAGTCAGTATTTTATAATCTCAGTATCTAATGATTTCTGCTTCTTGTTTCGCTAGTAATAGTCTCACCATGCTGGCAGTGCAAACATGGCCAGCAGCTCCTTGGATCCAGTCACTTCTGCAGTTCTCTTTTTTTTCTATAATTTTTTAAAATTTTATAATTTTTTAAAAATAATTTCATCCAAATTAGCATATGGTGCAACAATGATTTCAGGAGTACATTCCTTAGTGCCCCTTACCCATTTAGCCCACCCCTCCTCCCACAACCCTTCCAGTAACCCTCAGTTTGTTCTCCATATTTATGAGTCTCTTCTGTTTTGTCCCCCTCCCTGTTTTTATATTATTTTTGTTTCCCTTCCCTTATGTTCATCTGTTTTGTCTCTTAAAGCCCTCATATGAGTGAAGTCATATGATTTTTGTCTTTCTCTGACTGACTAATTTAGCATAACACCCTCCAGTTCCATCCACGTAGTTGCAAATGGCAAGATTTCATTCTTTTTGATTGCCAAGTAATACTCCATTGTATATATATGCCACATCCTCTTTATTCATTCATCCATTGATGGGCATTTGGGCTCTTTCCATACTTTGGCTATTGTTGATAGTGTTGCTATAAACATTGGGGTGCATGTGTCCCTTCGAAACAGCACACCTGTGTCCCTTTGATAAATACCTAGTAGTGCAATCGGTGGGTCATAGGGTAGTTCTACTTTTAGTTTTTTGAGGAACCTCCATACTGTTTTCCAAAGTGGCTGCACCAACTTGCATTCCCATGTAGGTTTCTTTTAAGCAGTTTTTATGGGGATTTTGTTGATCAAAAAAGTCTACTCAAGCTACAGGCAGAGTAATAGGTAGCAGATAAGAGAAATGTGAATACGTTTTACTACCCTAAATGCTCTTCATGTTTATTCATGTTCTATTCTTCATTTTTAAAGTAAGCTCCTATTAAGAAATGCTCTTTCATTTGGGCAAGCCAGCTTGTATTTTTAAGTGTGGATGACTGGGTTATTCTTTTCCACTCATGCTTGTATTATTACACTCATGGTTATTATTGTTATTATTTTAATGTGTATTCATTTTCGAGAGAGAGAGAGAGAGAGAGACGAGCATGAGTGGGGGAGGGGCACAAAGGGAAGGAGACACCGAACAAAGCGGGCTCCAGGCTCCACGCTGTCAGCACTGAGCCTGATGCAGGGCTTGAACTCACGAAACGTGAGATCATGACCTGAGCCGAAGTCAGACTCTTCACCAACTGAGCCACCCACACACCTCTAATTAAATTATTTTCAAATCTCTTCTATGACTTCTGCCTTGACTGGCTCACTGCGTAACATTCCTTCACATTTCAAATCTGTGAAAGCTCTGTGGCTCCTAAAGACTCGTCTATTTATTTATTATTCGCTCAACAGACATCTCTTGAGCATCTATCTGCTAAGCACTGGGCCAGGTATGGAGATGATGCCAGTGGATAAGTCATAGATCTTTTCCTCAAGGAGGTCACAATCTAGTTAAAGAGTTAAAGAGGTGGGCATGTGAAAAAAAAAAGAATGTGGCAAGTGCATAGATAGAGATAGAAACCAGATATTATAGACAGTCCAAGCACGAGCCTTGCCTCAATGTGCTGGTCAAGGAAGGCTTCCTGGAGGTCATAACACTTAAACTGAGTTGGGTTTGTTGGGTTGTTGTATTATTAAAGTTCTGCCTTTTTGCAGAGCCCAGATCATGAAAGACCTGTAATGTGTTGTTAGCACCAGACCATGATTGTAGCCAGAAGTGTCTGTCCCTAAAGCTGGGAGCAAAGCAAAGGTAGCCACCTGTTATAAATGGGATGGAACTACTTACTGGTGCCTGCTTACCTATGTTGTCTCATATAACATATATGTTGTCCAGTTCTTTCAAAACTTACCATGTTGAGACATTTTATTTGAGATCTAAAAATTACCCATGACTTCTTTCAGCAGCAGATCATTTATCAGAATGCTAGATAGTCTGTGGGGGAGGAAGACATCTATCTATACACACAGGCCTGTAGATATTTAATATGACCCTTTTTATATTGTTCTCCACATTGGGAGCAAGTGTTGAAAATAGTAGGAAGGTGTGAGTTTTGCTTAATTGGGCAACTTTGGTCACAATCAGGAGAAAGTGGTTTATTTGAATTATGTTGGTTGTATTCTTCCTTATACAATCTAAACATCTTGAAGTTCGAGTTCACTCTGGGTTTGAATCCTTTCGCTGTCATTTATTAGCTGAGTGACTTTCAGGCCAGTTGTTTAACTTTGCTCAGGCTGTTGATTGAGGAACCTCTTTATTAATAACAATTATAAAGAATATTGTTGGGGCGCCTGGGTGGCGCAGTCGGTTAAGCGTCCGACTTCAGCCAGGTCACGATCTCGCGGTCCGTGAGTTCGAGCCCTGCGTCAGGCTCTGGGCTGATGGCTCAGAGCCTGGAGCCTGTTTCCGATTCTGTGTCTCCCTCTCTCTCTGCCCCTCCCCCGTTCATGCTCTGTCTCTCTCTGTCCCAAAAATAAATAAACATTGAAAAAAAAAAAGAATATTGCAAGAATTAAGTAAAAGACAGGAAAGTTAGGTGTTTTCTTCATCCTAATGAAAGTCCTTCTAATGAAGATGATCAGTATGATTCTTTTCTTTGTTGGTGATTGTTTTAACTTTGTTTTTCTTATTTAAAATTTTGTAATTTATCCCCAAATACCACTAGCTAATTGTGGATAGAAATAGTGATTTTTCTTGATGTGCATATGAAGACTGTGCTTGTAAAGTGAGATCTAGGTCCAAAAATAATCTTTACAGAAATGTTAAAGAACTGCAGTGTCTAAAAATATTCATTCCAAAGCTCTGCCATCTCATGTAAATTTCTAGAGAAATAAGATTATTTAACTTTTGCTTCTTGTTGGTAACAAAACATATCCATTAATTTGAAGAGTTGTTTTCTTCATGAGTTTAAAATCATTTCAATGCCTGCTGGAAACTGACAAATTCAATTTACTTTTAAGTCATGCACATTTCACAGTACACACGTGGTGACATCAAGGGTTGGAAAAAAATTAAAAATCTTAAATCAACTCTGTCATTTTGTTCATTTATGGAAGTAAGTTAAGCTGGAATCATTCATTTGTTAAAAGTTTTAGTCTTTCTCATCATCAGATGATTTTTTGCTATTATTTCCTCAACTCATTTTTGGCAGAGCCTCATTCTCCTGTCAGAGCCAATTGGAATACTGCAGAATGGATGCCAGGCTGATTACTGTGGATTTGACACATTATCTTAAGTCTTGGATGTTAAGAATCTTAATGTTAAGAAACATTCCTAAGTCTCACCTGATGACATGGACCAGTTTAATAACTGTTTCAGTTATGATACCAAGAGGAACAATTTTGGATGGGGGGAGTGGGTTTCTTCTTTATAAGATGTGCTGTTAGAACAAGGGAGAAGCATGGTAAAGTGGAAAGAATATTTGCTTTTAGAATAGACAAAGACTCTACCACTTTTCAGGTCTGAGCCTCAATATCTATTAAAATGGGTTAATAATGGGGTTATGGTGATGATTAGATGAAATTATATATGTAAAATATCTAGGCCTTTACTGACATAGAGAAAATGCTCAATAAATGTTAGCTGTCATTCCTCACAGTCTTCGTCAAGTTCCACAAAGTGGACTTGGTGTTTGTCTTTTCGCTCATCAGCAGCATTATTCTAGAGCTGCTGTAGGAGCACAGAACACTACCGCTCTTAACTTCCAACCTTATCCACCGTGCACCGTGTGTTCACCCCCAGCCCATCTTCTCTTTCCTCTCATTTTAGTGCGACCCCTCACCCTGCTCTTCTAAGCAGGGAGTGAGGAATTTGTGGTCGGGTTGGGAGTGGGGCTGTCTGTTCTAGAAGTGAGTAGTAGCTTCCACTTTTAAACATATGAATTATGAAGGGAGAGAGACATGGGTTTTTGGGGAGTGGGGATAGAAAGAATATTTTATTACTAATCTCCCTACATGTCTGGTTCTTTTTCCTTCTTATAATACCATGATTTCCTATGTAACTCACCTATCTAATGTTGCTTGCATCTTTCTCTATTTCTGGAAATTATAGACCCTTCTAGAAGATTCTGAGAGCCTTTTGCCAATACTTCTTTTAGTCTGCCCTTTTAGAGTATAATGACTGAAGGCAAGAACATTCACATAACAAAGGGTCATTCAGAAATTATTATAGGCAGGCCCTGTGTTAAGTGCTGAAGAGACAAAGATGAATGAGAGACACTCTTACCCTGAAGGAGCTCACACTTACTGAAGGGAGATTAGGCATACAAAGTTATCATTTATTTAGGATAAGAATTCTAGTGGAGTATGGTGTGAGGTAATGGGGACAGTGAGAATAGAATGCCATCAAATGACGAGGAAAGCTTTCTTTGAGGTGGTGGTACTTTACCACAGATATGAATGATAAATAGGAGCATGCTGGCTGAAAAGGGGGAGGGACTGTGTTCTAGAGGTTGTTCTATGTTGCCAAGCTGCATATGATTTAATAGGGGAGCTAGGAAAGATGTGTAAATGTGCTGTATGAAAAATGAATAATGTGTGTGGGGAGGAGAGAGGATCACATGGGTCAGATTTTGGGGGATTCGGGGACTGGTCCTTTACTTGGTTAGTGCTTTCGGTCTTGTTCCCAAAGCGTCTGAGGCATCAGAAAAACTGCTCTCGGTGCCCACACCTCGGAGTTCCTTGACTGACAGAGTGCAAGTTAGCAAAATTTCCCCTGAGTCATCTGCATTATTCAAGAACCTCTTGAGTGTTGTCATTGTGGGAGGATATGAAAAGAAAAGAAAGATGACTGGTGCCTCTTTACGTGTGCATGGATGGGTGTGATCTCCGAGAAGGTACGAGGGCTGTGCTAGGCTGAGCCAGCACTGTTTGTGCCCCGCTCTGGCGAGTACCAGTGCAAGCATGTCCCCGGAACCCATCTTTCCAGTGTTCTTCCATTAGTCTCTGTCAGTATTACCTCATCATTGTCAGGCAGGCCTGATTAAACTGTACTGTAGAAGACAGATGGTTTTTATTTTCCTTGTGAGCTATTATGCAAGTTAAATCTGTGCTAGCATTATTTACTCAAATTTTGCCTGTTACCATAAAATTTAGCCCATCTCCATTTTGTCCTTACTCTCCTTTCTAATCAGGAGTTCCTTTGGATTGTCATTAATCTTCTTTGATGTGTGTTTACATTTTAACATGATCTATTTTAAGCCTCTTTATCTTTTCTTCCTGTCCTACAGTGGGTTTTTTTGTTGTTTGGGGTTTTTTTTTTGGCTTTAGTCACAGTACCTCAGATCCTAAATCCTTGCTTTCCCTTCTCCTACCTGTTCCTACAGCAGTGTTTCCTTTGCTTACTAATTCATGGATCTCTCTTCTCTTAGTCTCTGACTCCTACCCATCGCAACTGTGCTTAGTGGCTTCAGGAAAAATCCCGAGGTATGCCTGTGAAGTTTGCCTTTGCCACCTCTCATCCCAGTTCTCCCATCTCTTTTCCTTATCTTGTCCTACCTCTGCCTTAAATAAAACCAGCATAAATGTGGTGCTTACCAAACATGAGCCAGCAACTTGGCCAAAATTAGAGAGGATTCCAGGATGGCTTTAAGGAGTATATGGTATGGTGTGGGAGGTAGATAGATCCGTAAATAACTAAGATAAGGTCTGAAGTATCATAAGTGAGATTTTTGAGGGACTCACAAGATAATGAGGGATAAAATTAGAAAAGCATGAGTAGGAAAAGGGAATGAGGAGCATGGCAGGAGAGCCTCACCCTCTACTAGCTAATTATGACAGAGCAGAGTTACATGACATTGGACACTCCCTTGTCTTGCTGGGAGCTGTGTCCAGTCTGATTCACTTTGGCTAGGGTTATCTTTTGCTAACTGCCTCTGTTTCACCAAGAAATCCTGAGCAGACTTACTAGGTATGTGTGTCCACCCCTATATGTGATTCCTGCCCGGCTCTTGCTGTGTTTCACTTCTAGGTTTCTCGTATGGCCTTATCTTCCCACTGCAGTTTTCCTGCAGTCTTCCCACTGGATGTGGCTGGACAAGTTTCGTCCAGTTTCTCAGGGTTGCTCTGTATACTCTCCTTGGGGGCCTAAGGCAAAAATAGAAAATAGGGTTGGAGGTGACACAGGAAATAGGAAGGGGCATTGTCAGGTTGGAATTTCTCTCGGTTTCGGCAGCTAAGGTATATATATACATACCTCCCAGACTGACCCAGTTCTGGTATAGTTGTTTTTGCAGAGTCACCAGTCTCCTCGGTTAAGACTGAAAAGAACCATAAGAAGACAATGGTAATAACAGACTGAGTTCTGACCTATTTCTCCTTGGTTACTTTACCAAGAGATACAGATAGGATAATGGGAAATTTGGTTATCAGGGTGTTGTTTGTTATTTAAATATCTCACCTATGGTGAGTGTAAGGGCCTTAGCCTCCCTCACCTATCTGCAAGTGTTGTTAACACCTAGCTCTTGGAAATCTAGCCTTTGGCAAAGCTTGCACCCAGTGTTTCCAAAACACTTGCGGAAATCTGAGCTGGAACTTGCTATTGACAAATAATAGGAAGGTGCTTCTTTCTAGATTTAGTTGAAAATCTCATGTTTGGAGCAGGTTGGTCAAACTTCTGCAAACTCACTTGGACTCATTTTGCTTTTTTCTGCTTTCATTAGTCAGGATAGTACGTCATTTCATGACTCTGAATCTCCTATATGGTATATCTCTTCTGGAACCAGTAAATTCCTCCAGAGAAAGTTATAGAAATACTGGCTTTCTAAAGTGAGTTTCAGAGTCGGAGTAGTTGGTACACAGAAATGTTTATTGAATGAGTAAAATTTTAGTAAATTGGACAGCTGTTACTCAGTTTATGGACTGTATAACTGGGAAGAAAGCCATAAAACAACTTTCAGTAACATATTTGACATAGAACATTAACAATCATTTCTTATAGAATACACACTTGGTAACAATCTCAACCTGTACTTATATATTGGCTTATGCTTTTCACAAGGTTTCTATGTATGAAAGCCCTTGAGATTATCTAAATGAGTACTGCTGCCATCCCCATTTTACAAATGCCTGAAATAAAGGCTAAGATGCCAGTATGGTAGTCCTGGGATTAGAACTCATAACCTAGTTCAGTACCCTTTCCTTTGCAAACTGTTCAGACAAAAAGTTTGCATGAGTCTGTGATAATAAGAAAAAAGTAAAGCAATGGGTAAGTTTTTTACCATACTGCTTTTATTCACTTTAAGAAGATGCCCTTTATTCTGAGATTCTCTCATTAAATACTATGTACCCAGCTATGAACCCAGCTATATACACAGGCAGTGGTTATAGTGTTGAACAAGGCAGACATAGAGCTTATGTTCTAATGAAGGAGAAATTATAAATAAGTAAACAATAATATAACAATAAGTAAGTTCAGGTAGTTTTGGAACTCTGAAGAAAATAGAGAAAGGCTGCTGGTGGTGATATTTTTTATATGTAATATATTCCTGAAAATGTCCATCAACGTTTAATGTACATAATGTTTTTAAGGAAGATTCCTCCCTGAGGAATCCAAGCGGTCATAAAACATTTCTTCAGTGTGGTGTCTGGAGGATTCATTCATTTTGATATATTTTTTTTCTTTTTCTTCAAAATGGATCTCAAGTCCAAAATAGGCTTAAGTCCAGAGAGTAACTAGTGGAGGCTAAAGATTTGCTGCTCCAGGAACCCCTGATGATTGATTACCATACCTTTTTCATGCTATTGAGGCTATGAGAGCCAAACTTATTGCTAGCCAAATCTACCATTTCACTCATCTTTATAAAATAATAAAGGCAAAATACTAGACGACAACGCTTTCTTATTTTTTTTTTAGATTAGCAACAGAACTTTCTTCCAAGAAAGTTCTAGATGCCCAGTCTATAAAACAGCTGTGACTCCAGGCCACAAGCTTACTCTCCTCTTTGTCACACCTTACTGGCACCTGAGGAATACTTGAGAAGTCACCAAGTCTTTGCAGAACACAGGATGAAAACCGTAATCAAAAATTCAAATTGTAAATCCACTGGCAGAGCCACCATACCAGAGCTTCATAGTCACGTTCTGGGATTTTTAAAAGTCCACATTCAATGGAAAAATGGATTTATATGTACATTTTTACCTAAAATTTTATTTTCAGGTAGCATTTCCTATGTAAAGAGAGTTCAAACTTTAATTGTAGCTCTTTATTCAGAGCATACTTTTTCCTCCAATTTTACTGATATAATTACATACACACTATATTACTTTAAGGTGTACAACATAGTGAATTGACTTAGATGTATTATGAAATTATTAGCACAATACAGAGCATACCTTTTATATAATGTGGGCAGGATGGTACTAAAATGGGGCTAAAATACTTTTTTTGCTAGTTTAATTTTTTTTTTTTTCTTGCCTTCTAGTTTGCTAGAGTTTGGATACCTGATCCTGAGGAAGTTTGGAAGTCAGCAGAGCTGCTGAAAGATTATAAACCAGGAGATAAAGTCCTCCTGCTTCACCTTGAAGAAGGAAAGGTAAGAATTTTGCTTTTATCTGTTGTCATTGGCATAAAGTGAAGGGAATTCAAAAGTGGGAGTTTGCTGTGACATACCTGACTTCAGATGGAAGTTTAATTTTGAATTAATCTAATATTTTTTACTTATTAAATTGAAGAAAAAAGCAAAATAGCAAACTCAATTTTCTATCACAATTGGTTAGTCAAAATGGCAGAACTGTAAAAATCTGTTATTTGGTCTATAAATTTATTATGATTAGGTTTAAATTCACGTCTAATCCTCCCAAAGATATGCCTGTTTATTTTGTTTAGGCTAGCATCAATTATTTCATAGTAACTAAGAAAACATTGCTTAAGGAGCCAGTCTGATATTTGATATTTGTTGCACCTAATCATTTGAAAAATATTTATTGAGAAGCTATTATGTACAAAGCTGTTCACCAGCAACCAAAAAAACTTAAAACCAATTGTATCTCTATGCTTTCCTGTCTGCATTCACTGCATGGGTAGACTCATCTGAGTTGCACCTTTTTATTTATTTTTTATTTTTAAATTATTTTTTTAAGTTTATTTGAAAGAGAGGGTGTGTGTGAGCATGACTGGGGGAGGGGCAGAGAGAGAATCCCAAGGAGGCTCTTGCACTACCAGTGTGAACCCCACATGGGTCTTGAACTCACGAATCATGAAATCATGACTGGAGCCAAAACCAAGAGTCCAGTGCTTAACCGACTGAGCCACCCATGTGCCCCAGTTGTACCTTTTTAATCTCTCCACTGCATTTGACAAGGCATGTCCCACTTTTTTCTTAAAAACCTTTATGACATTAATTTTCTTTAAACAACGTATAGTCTAGCCAAGGAAACTGGATACAAATACATGAAAAGTTACGTAAAATGTAGGATCTAAAGAGTAGTTCAACACCACAATACCAAAGATGTCAAAAGATTATGATGAGGTATTACCACATGAGTATTACTATCCCAACAGTTAGCTGTACTGAGCACTTACTATCTGTCACACATAGTTGTAAGTGCTTTATTTGCTCTAACTCATATAATCCTCACAACGATCCTATGAAGTGGGGCGGTTGTTATTACACTTTATGGATGAAGAAACCAGTACTCAAAGAGATGCTCAAGATTATATGGCTATTAAGGAATGGAGCTGGGATTTTAAGCCAGAAAATTTGTCTTCATGATTTGTGCTCACACCCACTCTGCTATGTTGTAAAGAAAGACAGTAATGACTTTAGGATCTTTAAGAGGAAAATTTCATTACAGGCTGCTTTGTCAGGGAAGGCTTCAAGGAGGAAGAATGATTTTGACTGGATCTTAAAAGGTAGATAGAATGTGGACTTATAAGGAGAAGGGGATAGACCTTATGAGGATTGGAATGCATTTTGGAGATAGTGAATATAGTAAGTTGCCTGGAGCAGACATTTAGGTTTGTGTTCAAGTTCCGGGCTTGCATATTAAAGTATCTGCTAGATATCATGTTGGCAAAAGGTGCTCTCTGACATCAATGTCAGGTAAGAGAAATAGATATATTTGTGAATAGTATGGCATGTGATATAATGAAAATAAGGAACAAAAGTAGAACAGAGTAGGGAGTGATCAGACCGGCTGGTGAAGGTCAGGGTTCAGAGAGGCATTGTCTGAAGAATGAGTAGACCAGCAGAAGTGCAATTAAGGGATCCAGAAAAGCACGTGCAAAGGCAGGGAAGCATGCACAGTAATGTGCATTTGGGGAGGTACATAAGTTCTATGTTGTTAGAATGTGAAGTAAGAGTACAGAACTGGCAAGAGAATGGGGGGTGGGAACCAGATCACAGAGGGCCTGGTGATCACGTTAAAACTCTTGGACTTCAAGAGATATGCGATGCGGAATGATTGTAGTATTTTTAAACAGAGGAAGGATGTCTGATTTGTGTTTTAGAAAGGACTCATTGGTGGAAGCACAGAGGATGAATTTCAGGAGAGCAAAATAGAGGCAAGGTTAGTTGGGAAAAAGGCAGGGAAGAATTAGGCCCGATTAGGAGGACCTTGAATGTCAAATTAAGAAAATAATTTATTCAACTGCTCTGTGTTAGGCGCAATATTAGGCACTGTGAGATATATTTTCTTATGTTAATTCTCACAACAACCCTGTAGGTTGGCAGGTAGTATTATAACTATTTTGCAAATAAGGGAAGCCATGGCTCAGAGATATTAAGTAGTTCTGCCTGAGATTACATAGCCAGAGTGGCTTTTGTGTATTGCAGAGACCAGTGCAAGGACCATTCAATTTGGGGAAGGACATTATATCCTAATAAACAGGCAGGGAGAGATTGAGGAGCAGATTATAAATTCCTTTCCATTTAGCATGATTCATTCCAACCTATTTTGAATATTTGACCTCTATATCTCTGCAATGTTAAGAAAAGTGGCTTTTTACAAAACCAACTAGTCCTTCTCTATAATTAAATTACATTTTTTTTCCTTTTTTATTTGTCATATGTTATTTGCCCTTAATACATAGTTGAGTGATAATTTCCATGCTTGGCTTTGTCATAAAGCCATATTTTCCTTGGCTTTAAAGTGAGTAGTTCTTCTGAACTTTTGGAGCCAATCACCTCATTAAAAATCAAATGAAAACTATGAACTGTAATTCCAAAAGCAATACACATATGTATATATATTTACACATGTGCACATATGCACAGTTACAGTTAATTTCAGGAGATTCTTGGACCTCTCAGGGTTCAGGTGTTCCCAGGTACTTACAACATGCCATGCATTGCCTCATTTAATTTTTATCACACCCCTGTGAGCTATTTCTCTTGTGCCCTTTCTACAATGAAGGATTAAGATTAAATAACATACCCAAGGCCACAAAAGAAGTAAGTACCAGTTTCAGGATTTGAAACTGGGTTGATCTAACTCTAAAGATAAGCTCTTGACCACTCTTTATTGTCTATTCACTTATCACAGGTGAAGAGAAAGAGAGAAAAAGAAAGGTTATTTAAAGATTAAAGACTTCTGGTTCCATAACGGGTAAAAAAACGTCTAGGCTTCTCAAACTATATTAGCAAAAATTATTAATACAAGTTAATACATCTAGTGAAAAAGAAGACTCTTCATTTCCACCATTTTCTGTGGCTTTGGGAAATGTGCCAGCAAAAGAATGCATTTAATAGTTGAGAAGCAAATGAGGAATAGGAAATAAGCAAAATGCATGGACTTGTTTCACTTTTATTGCCATGATTTATCCAGACTGTACCTTATGCATTTTCAGGATTTGGAATATCGTCTAGATCCAAAGACTAAGGAACTGCCTCACTTAAGAAACCCTGACATACTTGTGGGTGAAAATGACCTCACAGCCCTCAGCTATCTTCATGAGCCTGCTGTGCTCCACAATCTCAGAGTCCGCTTTATTGACTCCAAACTTATCTATACATATTGTGGTAAGTGTGCCTTGCTGTCTGAGTGGACCATGAACTCTTCCCTCTAATGGACGTACCATGGAAATATTGTGCATGGGGAAAAAAGGCTGTCGTTGGATTTCCTCCTAGAGAGAGGATCACTTGAGTTATCAAAAAAGATTTACCAGTGTTCATTAGCTCATTGCATTTTGTGCTGAATAAGCTCTTTTGTAAATTACATAATTTTGCTCAAAAAAAACCAAAACAAACAAACAAACAAAAAACCCTGAGCTGGGCTAGGCCCATCTTCCAGATTTTCTTCCTTCCAAAGAAATTATTTGCCAAATTCAGTGACAGTTTGGTAGTTATTTTCATGTCTTACAAGAGCTGCTATACGAAGAGTAGATGTCCAGACTTCTCTTTGGAGCAAGTTCAAGTTTAGTGTTTTCTTGTTCTCAGTGCAGGACTGACAACTCATAGTAACTATTCTTGCTTGATGTGTTTGTCTGGACCCATGCTCGCTGCATTGTTAGCTGCCAGTGACCCAGCTCAGTAGTCTTTTTCTTTCTCTTGGAAACTAAGCACATGTACATTTGGGTTCTTACCCCCTTTCCTTCTTTTGTGTCTCTATTTTTTTCTTAACTTTTATTTTCTCCCTTGTCCCTGGCTCTTTTCTCTACTGACTTCTTATCTTTCTTTCAGTAATTATTCTCCCCCAGCCTCAGGTCTGGGATTTCATTCATTTTCTTCTAAGTCTATTTGCTTGGTGTAACCAACTCAGCACCTATCATTTCTTCCTTACTCTCCTGCTTTGGACAGGGACAACTATCTTTTCTTCTTAAAGGAATGTATATCTCTTGTATCCTTGATGCTAACTCTTTTTCTTCTCTATTAACTATTTCTGATTGTCAATTTTCATTTCTCCGTTTACTTTTTTCTTGCATATATGTTACCTTCTCAATAAAGCCTTCGCAGCCCACCTTATCTAAATCATAAACCCTTTTCCCCTTCTAAGTTTCCGTGTTCTTTCTCTGTTTAATTTTTCTCTTTTTTCCTTTTTACTATCTAACCTGTGATATTTATTTTTTCTTGTTAATTGTTTGAGTTTCCTACTAGAATATAAGGTCTGTGAGGGTAAAGATTTGTCTTTTTTTGTTTACTGTTATAAACCTAGCACTCAGAAAAGACTTGAGACATACTTGGAACTGAATAAATATTTGTAGAATGAAGGGCTTCATTAATTTAAAATATACTTACTATAAAATTTAAGGAAACAAAAAAAAGGTGTTTAAAAACGAAAAATATATACATGTAATTCACTACTGAAAAAAAACAGTATTATATTTACATATCCTATATGTGTGTATATGTGAGAAAGTATAAATAGATATGAAATTAGAATTAGTCTGTTGATAGTTTTGTGTCATGTTTTCCTATTACTTTTAATATTCTTTATAAACATGATTTGTAGTGGTAGCATAAATGTCTACCATGTCTGTTATAGGGATGTAAGAAAATATTTAGCTACTCTTCCTTTATTATATAGTTTGTTTCTGCTTTTCACTACTGTGAATAATATGATAAACATCTTTATGAAAAAAAACCTCTTTGCTTAAATCTCTGGTTATTTCATTTGGATAAATTTCTAAAAGTGTAATTTTCAATTTAAATACTATGAAAATATTTATGTTTCTTTTAACATTGACATGGTTTTTATCTTTAATAACCTAGGCCAGTTTTTAAATGGTGTTTTAGTTAGGTCTGGGTATATTGTGTTCAGAGGCAAAGGCTGTGATATATTTCGATCTTTAACAATTTGTTAGTTCAAGATTAACTCAAGTTGAAATTTGTGTTAACTGTGATTCTCGCTTTACCAAGTTTGATATGTCCATTAGTGTATCACTGACTTCTTCTTTTGCTTTTTTTACCCCTCCCCTAGGTATAGTCCTTGTAGCTATAAATCCTTATGAACAGCTGCCTATTTATGGAGAAGATATTATTAATGCATATAGTGGTCAGAATATGGGTGATATGGATCCACATATCTTTGCAGTAGCTGAAGAAGCTTACAAGCAAATGGCCAGGTTGGTGGGAGCTCTATTTCTTTTTTCATGACTCTTACTAGATGTGATAATTTCTTCTTTGCTGAGTCACAGATATTTTAAAACACAGTTAAGAGCAACTGGTAAATTGTTATTAAATAAACAGACTTGACCATTTCAGATGGCCTGCATTATTATTAAAATAACTTCTTATTTATAAAAGAACATCCAATTTTTAAAAACTGACTTTGGGGAGTGCCTGGGTGGCTCAGTCGGTGAAGGGTCCAACTCTTGGTTTTGACTCAGGTCATGAATTCGAGCCCTGCATCAGGCTCCACACTGACAGTGCAGAGTCTGTTTGGGATTCTTTCTCTCCCTCTCTCTCTCTCTGCCCTTCCCCTGTTCCTGTGCATGTGCTCTCTCTTTCTCTCTCTCTCAAAATAAATAAATAAATTAAAAAAACCCTGCCTTTGGAATTTCCTCATGATCCTGTGACTATGTGCAAAGACAGATATTATATTTACAGAAGAGCGGATCAAGGGTTGGTGATAATAAGTGATGGGTTCACTATCATTCAACTAATGAGTGGCAGAACAGAAATAAAAGGGCTGGGGCGCCTGGGTGGCTCAGTCGGTTGAGCGTCCGACTTCAGCCCAGGTCATGATCTCGCGGTCTGTGGGTTCGAGCTCCGCATCGGGCTCTGTGCTGACAGCTCGGAGCCCGGAGCCTGTTTCAGATTCTGTGTCTCCCTCTCCCTGACCCTCCCCTGTTCATGCTCTGTCTCTCTCTGTCTCAAAAATAAATAAACATTAAAAAAAAAAAAAAAAGAAATAAAAGGGCTAAGGACAAGAAGAAATCTGTCTGTATCTTAGAGAATTAAATCTCAAGGAAACTGAATTTAACGTTAGTATTATGTTCTAGTGTCCATTGATCCTGAACAGCATCAGTAAAATGTCTTTGATGTTAATCATGGAACCCTAACACTATGACAGTGGAAAACCAGAGGAAAAAGCTACTTTCAGAACTAGATTAGACTCTTAATAATGTGATGTAATACAAAACTATGGAGGTATAGAAGAGTATATATTCAATTCATATCTCCTGTCTTCAGGTAAGAACCATCATATATCCTCAAGCAATTTATGAAGTGGAGAAAAAACTAATACTGCAGAGGTTTTATTTTCTCCTTTCCAAACGGGGAGAGTGTTTGTACATAATTGGACTAGCATGTGACAGAATTTTAGAATTATTTCATTGACAGAGTCCATAGAAGTCATTATGCCCTTTTATTAATAAATTATTATTATTTCTAATAATAGCTATTAAGTACTCTGTCTTTGCAACATACTGTTTAATTGCCTTCAATTTTTTAAGTAATTTTATCCTCACAGCAACCTTCTGAAGTTAGTATTATTATTAATCTTCATTTTACAAATGAGAAAATATAAGCAATAAGAAGTTACTTAACTTTCTTAAGGCCACATAACTAGGAACACTAGCTTTCAAATTCCATTAGTCTAACACTGTGAAATATTATCATATTTAATACAAAATGACTAAATATAGTTTTGTACTATATAACATGGTGTATTATACCAGATTCTGTTATAAAATAGGAACTAGTATCAAAAGTGTAAGAAATGTTACTTTTTGAGGCTTTTAAATTCCATCTATCAGCATAATTTCCCCCTAAAATTAGAAAAACCCACCAATATTCGATGTGTATAATCCTGGAGCATTGCAATACAAGTGAGCACAGCACAAGTACAGCCAGAGAACTATCAGGCAGAGAGGGAATTGCATGGAGTGCTAGGCCCTAAAAATTATCTCTGAAAAATGTTATGCTGCTCATAGAAAATTATATGACTTCTTTGAAAATACTAATCTGAAAAATACTGATATGAAAGTCTGGTTCTCCGCATCTTTGTCACAGGAAATTCAAAAATAGTGTTAGATTTGTCTGAATATTTCTGGCTTTTCAACCCTAGATTTACTTTGGTTTCCTAACATTTCTTCCCTGATGATTCCCCTGTGACTCAGTCAATGTGATTTCTTTACTATAGGTTTGCTGGTTTCTTTTCCTTTTGCTTAGTTTTGTTTTTTAGGCAGTTTTAAAATACGCTTCAGTTATGATTTTATGTTCACCATTTATAAATATATTTATAAGTCTGTACACAGAAAATGTGCTACAGCAGCTAAATAGACCACGTCTCTTAGGCTTATAGTTGGAGATAGATATTGCAGGATCGTTTCTTGGCATTTTTTCCTTACCAAGTGATGAGGTGCCATGTTTACCAGATGTGAATCCTCGAGTTTCACATTTCCAGTACTCTTAGAGGCCTCTTATATCTTCAGGGAAGTTAGAGACACTTGTTCAGTAGACCTTTACTGAACACCATCCAGACACTGTCCTGGGCATAGGGGACACAACAGCAAACAAATGAGACAAAATAGACAAAAGTTTTTACCCTCATGAAGTGTGGCAGAAGATACACAGTTTTTCACATATTAATAAGTACTATCCTGGAAAATAAAGTTAGGAAAGTAGGTAAGGAATGCCAGGTAGGCAAGAGGGCATATGTAGTAGTTTCAGGGAAAGCCTCATTGTAAAGCTGCCCTCTCTGTTTTTTTGCAAACTTAAAAAAACCTTAAACTTACAAAGAGGTTGGAAAAATAGTACACAGAGGTACTGATTTCCTTACCCTCACATTTCCTCCCATGTTAACATGTTATGTAACCATTGTAAATAATTGAAACCAGGAAATGTACATTTTATAATACTGTTAAGTAATCTAAAAACCTTGTTCACTGTTTATCATTTCCCCTCCAATGCCCTTTTTCTGGTCTAGGATTCAATCTAGAATCATACATAGTACCTTGTGTTTCTCCTTAGGTTCCTCCAATCTAGAACTATCCATTAATCCTCTTTTCTTTCATGATTTTGACACTTTTGAAGAATACATACTGGCCAACTATCTTGTAGGCTCTGAGGACACAGCAGTAGAAAAATTAGGCAAAATAGACTCCAAAAATTCTTACCCTCCTGAAAGTTTGAATTTTTTTCCTGATTGAGTAATTGAGGCTAGCCACACATTTTGGACAGTCATATCACAGAAGTGATGTGCCCTTCATCATATAGAGGAGATATAAGATACTGATTCCTGGGGATACTAACATTGATCACTTAGTTAAGGCAGTATCTACCAGATTTCTCTATTTTAATTACTATTTTAAACTTTGAAATTAATAAGTGTGTTATGGGAAAATACTTTGAGACCATGTAAATATCCTGTTTTTCATCATACTTTCACTTACTAATTTTAACATCCATTGATGATTCTTGACTGCAACAATTTTTACTGTGGTGTTGGTCAAGTGGTCATTTGCTATTTTCTACTGTAAGGAAGAGCTGTTATTTTCCCCCATTTATTTAGTATTTATTTTTTATTTCTATCAGTATGGACTCATGGATATTTATTTTAGTCTATGGATTATCACTATTTATTTTGTTCAAACTCTATCAGATTTTGTTCAAACTCTGTAAGATTTATTTTGTTGAAACCTTGGAGCTCTTTTCAAGTGTACTTTCAACAGCCCTTTATTATGTTTTGATCATTTTCTTACATTTTAGCAACATGTGGCTCATTTTCTGATTTCCTTACCCCAACCCTAGAATCAGCTATTTAATTTCTTCAGGGAGCTCTGGTTTCTTTTTTGGAGGAATGGTACTTAGAAACAAAGATCTTTCTGCTAGGAATGCTCATTACTATTGGGGCATCATCTTTAAGCCCAGTTCACAGAGCTAGGAAATAAAGGTTTTCCCATAGCCTTACCAACAGGATGTGTTGTCATACTTTTAAAATTTTGCCACACTGACAGGTGATAAATGGTATCCCAGTGTTGTATTAATTTGCCTTTCTCTAAATATAAAAGTTACACATTTTTACACACACACACACACACACACACACACACACACCCCGATACATGTCTGTATATATTATTATGTCTATTTGTATATATATTAAAAAACTTGAGTTTATATACACTATGGAATACTACGTGGCAATGAGAAAAAATGAAATATGGCCTTTTGTAGCAACGTGGATGGAACTGGAGAGTGTGATGCTAAGTGAAATAAGCCATACAGAGAAAGACAGATACCATATGGTTTCACTCTTATGTGGATCCTGAGAAACTTAACAGGAACCCATGGGGGAGGGGAAGGAAAAAAAAAAAAAAAAAGAGGTTAGAGTGGGAGAGAGCCAAAGCATAAGAGACTGTTGAGAACTGAGAGCAAACTGAGGGTTGATGGGGGGTGGGAGGGAGGAGAGGGTGGGTGATGGGTATTGAGGAGGGCACCTTTTGGGATGAGCACTGGGTGTTCTATGGAAACTAATTTGACAATAAATTTCATATATAAATAAATAAAAAATAAATAAATAAATAAATAAATAAATAAAGTTAAAAAAAAAAAAACTTGAGTTCATATTGATACATCCAATTCCAGTTCAACACCACAGTTTTTATTTTTGCTTTCTCTTTTTCCTTCATTTATCTCCTTTCTTTGGTCTTTAGAAACCTGGTCTCCTTATCCTGTATGTATGTGTATACACACACACACACACACATACATACATATATATATGTATATTTCTTTGCTCAATCCTAGAATGTTCATAAAGTAGTAAAGTAGTTCTAAAAATATTATCCCATACTCCCATCAGAAGCAAATTTACCATTCAAGTGCAATATTTGTGTCCAATTCATTTTGTCTTTAGCCTTATGGTATATAAAGTACTGATTTCCAAAGTTACTTAGGTTAGTTCTTTATCTTACTCACTTTATTAGTTTATTCAACCACTTTCCCATATGTGGTCATTTAGATTGTTTTCAACATTTTAAATTCAACAACATTTAAACAATGCTGTAATAACCTGGTGCATATGTATTTATGTATTTTTGGAAATGTAGCTTAAGGTAGGTTGCTAAAAGTGACATTGCTAGGTCAAAAGGTAGGTTTAAATGTAGTTTAGTAGGTA